AAGTAATAATAAATGCTACTTGGAAAGAAACTAATTTAAATGAAGTAAAATTTCTACTTATGAAGATGTTGTGAGAGTACAACAACCTTTTGATTATGAAGACTGCTAAAGTCGATGATGCCTATTTTTTTCTGTTAAAAATATATTTCTAATAACAAGAGCATCTTTTAATTATAAATATAAAGATTCTTTTATCATCTCTTATGTTTTCATTATCTTTTTAATTTAAACACATGAACATTCATTCTCTTTTTATGTTATAAACTAAAATAAATCTTATCATTTACATTAATATATAATAACATCATAATTGAAATATTTTTACAAATAGAATAATCAAATAAGTTATAAAATTTCAGTTACAATGAAAGTATAAGTTACAAAAGATCTTCGAAAGCTGTACGATATAGATCTTTTCTTCAATATTGTCTTATAAAAATCTCAAGAGATTTTTCTGTATAATAAAATTTAAAAAACATCATAAAATCAATAATTAACTCATTCAATTAAGAAACTAATATTTTCATTGTTTTACACTAATTACTTATTATCTGTTATAAATTACTTATCAAACAATACATTGTTTGTTGAAACAATATGTTAACAGAAAAAACAATGAATATAGAAATTCTTTATTAGATGTTTATATGATGAAAAAAAACAAATCTAGAAAAATTTTCTTTGACATTGTATTAGTAATAATAGGATGAAAATATACTGAATACAATATAGACGCAATTCTCGACTCTCGAGCGAGCGAATAGAGTAAGTGAAAGGCGATGAAGGAGAAAAAAAACAGCGGCAAGAAACGAGAAGTTCCTCGTCTCTGTTATTATCAGTCGTCAAAATGAAGAAGAAAAAATAAGACAAGGAGGAGAAGATGAGATGATGTGTGTAGGCGCCGTCTTCAATCAATGTTCGACCGAACATGTACTATGAAATCTTTATCATCATCATCACCATCATCATCGTCATAACTTTTGCTCGAAAGGCAGTTGATAACATTTGTTTATTATATTTTCTTTTCTCTATGAAAACAAAAAATCTATCGAAATATTTGAATCTCTCTATAATTTAAATTGTTCAAGTGTATACTTATCATGTTTTTATTTTTTTTAATTATATTAAGGGAACTTCTAATTCGTTAACAACTGCTATTTGGGTAATTAACGAACGAAATTCAACGTCAGTAAATATAGATGTTTATCAACCAATTGTTCGAATAATGTGGTATCGTTTCCTGTTAATCATTAGTAAGTATAGTTTATTAATATTATTATTATTATATTTTTGTTCTCAATAATATATAAAATATTGAAAGAAACAAAGAAAAAATTCTTCCGGAAAGATGATGTTTATGTTGTAGTTTAATCGGGTTAACAAGCGATAGACTGACATAATTGTATCTCAAGCATACTTTATAAAAATACGGAAATACATGTACTTAAACACGGCAAAAAATGAGAAAAAACGATGTCATTATCAAGTAGATTTGCTTTACTTTTTTTCTATTCTAGTTATTTTTGTGACTGCCGCTGGCAATATTTTAGTTTGTCTGGCTATAGCACGAGAACGAAAGTTACAAAATACAACTAATTATTTTCTTATGTCATTAGCCATTGCAGATTGTCTTGTTGCTATACTTGTCATGCCGATGGGAATGATTGCAGAAGTATTAGGTAAATTTTTACACAAATATTCAAACCATCAACAGAAATTTTCCATATGGTATTTATATATTCTCTAGGCCATTTTCCATTGCCACATTATGCCTGTATTATTTTCGCTACAATGGATGTATTATGTTGTACATCATCTATATGGCACATGAGTACAATGTCAATGGATCGTTATTTTACAATTCGTTTTCCCTTTCGCTATGGCAGAAATAAAACTCGTCGTATTATGTTACTTAAAATTATTGCCGTTTGGGCAATAAGCACAGCTGTATCATCTCCAATATTTGTTTTAGGTCTTGTTGATAAAAAGAATGTTTTATCAAATGGTGTATGTGCACCTAATAATGAATCATTTAAATTGTATGGTTCAGTTTTTGCTTTTTATATTCCATTTATAATAATGATAACAACATATGCATTAACAATGCGTTCTTTAAGAAATGTTTTAGTTAATAAAAGAAAATTTAATCGTGAAAGACGTCGAAAACAAACATTTCAACCATTAGCACAAATTGTTAATCAATATGCTGCAATAGCACAAAGTATTCGACGTACAGCATCAATAAACAACCCAGCAACAGTATCAACAACAAATACCAATAATAATAATAATAATGATAATAATAACAATAATAATAATATCTCTCATTTAAATAATACATCTTATTCATTACTAACAACTACAACACCACGAGATTCACGTACACAAAGTCTTCGATCAAGTAATTCAGATTTAAATTTAAAACAAGTGTCAAATAATATTCAATATGGTTCAATAAATATGCCAAATAGAACAAATATAAATAATGAACTTATTCATAATAATAATCAACATTTATCTATTAATTATACTAAGCCATGTGGAAGTAAAAAAAGACATTATTATCATTATCAACAACAACAACAACAACCATTGACAGGGAACACAGGAATAAATCGTATAAAAAATGATCATGATATGAGTACTGTTTTTGAAATAGCTGAATATTCAAAATCAACATTAAACTCACATGATGTTACACCAAAAACAAGCAACCGTACATGTCAAAGATTAAATGTTACAAACGAAAAAAAGCAACAACGACTGTTAAACGCAATTGACAGTATAAAACAACAACAAATGCCAAATACAACAACGATAACATCAACTATCAGCACAATATCACCAAATGAAGTAGATATTTGTTCGACAACAGATATTGATAGTGGAAGTAAGTTTTATACATAGTTTCATTCAGAATGATGTTGATTAATTAATATCATATTAGAAAAAAAAGAACAAAAAAAAGTTAAGTATGTGGAAAGACTAATTAAAAAACAAATGATAAAATATTGAGCATTCGAATAAGATGAAATATTATACAAATAGATACATAGATTCTATTGAATGGATTTTGTTTGAGAAAGATATTCTCTAGTTGAAATAAAATAAATTATTCTTATTAACAGTTTTATTCTTTTGTCTGGATCATTAGAAATGTGCCGATAATAAAATTTATAAACATCAATTATTCATTGTCATACGAGTAAATATCAAGCTATTTATTAAAAAATATTCTTCATTTATCATTTAAATGATAAACCAAAAAAATCCTATCAGATAGATTTTCATCATTGTTTTTTTTTTCATGATTTCTAATCAAAATTAAAAAAAAAACAATTCAGAGGTTTTTACAGAAGAAGATTACAACATTCTCGTCTAATAAATCTTAACAACGTTTTTACTTAAGAAGAAAAGTCAAAACGTTATCTATGATGATTTCTTAAAAAAGCTTTTAGTTAGATTAGATCTCTCTGTAAGCAATATATCCTAAGTAATTATATTGGTAATTAAAAAGAGTAAGAATATTTTCTATTCGTTTTAGCTGAAATCAATGATTTAAATTCCATTGAAATAGTTCCTTCAACAACATCTATTCATTCGACTAGACTTAATTCTACTGACTCCATGTCTTTAATAATTCCATGGCAATATTGTTTTACTCTAATTCAATATATTCTACAATATTATCTATTTATTTTTCCTTATCGATCACGTCCTTTAGCAATTAAATATAAATTTAATGAAAATGAATTTAATAAAAGATCTTCTATATTATTACATCAATCAACATCAACATCATCAATAAATGCAATAGTAAGAAAAAATTCTCAATCGGTGTCAACACAAACAAATTCTCTTCTACCATTAGATTTATCTAATACTCATGGAATTAATAACAGTGAAACTCATTTATATAGTCCTACTAAACGACATCAATTTTCATTTAATAGATCGATATTACCTTCATCATCTTTATTTACAAAACTTTTTCGTCAATCATCAACAATATTATTAGGTTCACGTGTAAATTCAACTAAATCATCAATATCATTGAATCAACACTTACCTCTAACATCATCATCATCTCTAATACGTCAACAATCTCCACATCATCATCGTTCATCTAGTGTGTTTCGTCCAATTGAACACGAAATGAATTATATTTTAGAGAATGATCATCGTCCTCGTGCAGCATCATCTTCTGTTCTATTACATACAACATACCATCGAAGAAACCATGCATCTTTACGTGAACCTAGATCATTAAAACGTCGACAACAATATCAATCTAGTTCAGGTTATTTTTTAACATATTCAAATCGATACACTTTACGACGACAACAACAACAACCATTTACTTCATCAACAAATACAAATTCATCTGATTCATTATCAGTTTTTCAACGAATAAATTCAAAATATTTTTCAACAATGTCAAATCATTCACAACAACATCAAACTCAATCACAACGTTTACGTGATGAACATATTGTTGCAGCTAATGAACGAAAAGCTTTAAAAGTTTTATTAATTATATTTTGTGTATTTGTAACATTATGGACACCATTTTTTATTTGTACATTTATATCAGCTATATGTGAACAATGTCGTCAACGTATATCATCAACTGTTTGGTTTTCAATAACATGGCTTGGCTATAGTTCATCAATGGCTAATCCATTTATTTATACAATATTTAGTGATGCATTTCGACGTGCATTTACAAATATTATTTTTTGTCGACCCAGTGATTCATTATTTCCAAAACAATTTTCAGCTAAACTATCATATCAAAAGAGTGCTGTTCCTCATCAACCAATTCATCAACAATTATCATATAGAAGAAATCCAAATCATGAATTTTCAAGAACATCAACACAAATATCATTACACCCTCAAACATCAAATGCTGGAAGTGATGCAACAATATATATTAATCGATGTGCATCAGAATCATTTCGATAATTGAATAAAGGAAAAAAAAAAAGAAATCTAGTTCATCTTTCTTTCTTTATCATAACATACCCGAGTTCTTCTAGTGTTTCAATTAACTGTTGTTTTTGTTCGGGTAACATTCGTGCAAAAACTGTACCGCGTACACATAACTAAATTTAATAATATCAAAAATAAAAGTGAAAATATTATTTTTCAAAAAATCCAAAAAGAAAGATTTTACTCGATATAATAATTCTGGATGTTCATCACGAACAATTTGAAATGATTTACCAGATATAGCAAAATGGTATGGTGAACGACGATCAAGTTCAATCAATCGATGAGACTAAAATTATTATGTTAAAAATGAGTTAGCATTGTTTTTTTGAATTTTCAATATTAAAATTTAACTTTTTAAAATCTTTAAAAACGTCTTTTGAAGAAAAAACAATTAAAAATTTTTAAATGTCTATATTTAATATGACAAATTTTAGTATTTTGTCTATTTATACATGATTTTCTTTTCGAATCAACCAAATTGAATAAAACAAGAGAAAGATTTTGTTTTAATAAAATTCTTTTGTGTTTTTTTTAGAAGTAATAGTTTTTAATTATGAAAAATGGTTATTATTTCTTCCGTTCTCAATTAGAAGTATAGAGCAAATGACATGAGAAAATATTTGTTAATATGTTTATTAAACAGTATTAATTTCTTTTGTCATATAAAGTTTATGTCTTATCGTCAAAAGGATTAAATAGAATGTTATTATTTGATGAGACAAAAAACTGCTCCGTATGTGTTCTCTAAAGATATTTATTACTTATTCTCAAATGAATTTAAAAAAAACAAGAAGAAAAGAAGACATGTAAAATAAATTAAAACCTATTTCGGTAATAGAAGATTCTCTCATAATAAAAGATTCTCCTTGGAAGAACAACCCGTCAGACGCGATGCAATACGTTCCTTGATTAATTAATTTCTTGCAGAATTGGCACTTTAATTTGTATGTTTACATTAAAATATGTCTAGTTTTTAGTAGAGATCCATCAATTCCTAGAACACGATGTTAAAGATGACATCTGTTATGCTTATTAAGAATGTACTTCGTATGGATTGTTTATATCAACCATAATCAATTTCTTTTCTCTATTTGAAGCTGTACTCGAGATACATGAAATGGAAACAAAAGTTTCGGAATTTATCAGAAAATCTCATTTTTAGGTTTTGTTTTAAATTGAATATAGTTGGTATGAAGAATTACTCGGAGTCAAATTATTTTCAATATTAGGCATGTATTTTTGTAAACAGAGATAAACTAATTTCTACCAGGTCCTTGAATTTCCAATCAGAGTTTAGAATATTTTCAGTATGAGGGATAACCGGACTTCAAGTAATTGATCCTATCAATTGTGTTCAGTCTTGAACGATCTTTCAGACTCTATTCTTAGATTTTGTCTAATGAAAAACACTAATCTCAAACTCAGTTGGCATTGGTCAAAAACAACTGAAAAATGAGACTTTTTTATATTATTTCCAAGTGTATAAAGTTTTCGCAGAATCTTGTAATAAGTCTCATTCATGGTGCACCGACAGTTGAGTCCCCGACAGATGAGCCTACCGACAATTGAGCTCCCGACAAATGAGCTCCCGACATTTGAGCCTCACAAAATTGAAATTTCATCGATTAAATATAGAACACACGAAATTATTATTGAATCGCTTAATTCACTTGAAAATAGCGCACGGAAAAATGAGACATCTTTCAATGGTACTGATGGCTCGTCGATATATTTTTCGTGGCTAAGTCAATCATCTGTACAGAAATGAACAAGTTTTTCGAACAATATTTCTGTGACTCATAAAGGTTTTATCATTCTTGGTATATCTTTCTATTATCATTAACAATGTCAATCGTGAAATCTTCAAAAAACAAGGATCAACTTTTACTTAGTGGTTATCGTTATCGTCGTGCAAATAAATCTCAAATTATTTGGCGTTGTTGTCGAAATGACTGTGCTGGTCGTGTACGTTTTGATGGAACAGATTATATTAAAGTTACGGATCATCTTCATGCACCAAATCCTGAAGAAACAATATCAGTGGAATTCAAATCAAATATCAGTTCTGGTGCAACAATATCGCATGATCCACCACGACGTATTATTCATCAGGCTTTATTAATTTTTTTTTAATATGAGGCTCAAGTGTCGGGAGCTCATTTGTCGGGGCTCAACTGTCGGGGCTCATCTGTCGGGAGCTCAACTGTCGGGTCACGCTCATTCATTTTCATAATTTTTAATGAAAAGGGTTTCTCAGAAAATCAAATCAAATTTGAGAATGCTAACCTCAATCTTTTAAAACTTTCAGCTAAAAACCCTAAAAACTAGGCATATCCTGATATAAATGTACTAATTAAAATTTCAATTTTTTGAATGATTAATGAATTAATGAGAATACAGTCTTTTATTAGGTACAATACGTGGTTCGATCTAAACAATCTTCTATCACAAGAAGAGGGTTACAACTTTAGATAGAAAAAAAAAATTGATTGTGATTGATATGAACAGTTCACATGTAATACATTCTTAACAAAGAAAAAAATGTTATTTTGGATATTAAGGTTTAGAAATTGGTGTATCCTTAGTTCTGAGCTAAAGCAATCTTAAATCATTAATTTTAACGTTATATCTAGGCTTTTAAACCTCTAAAAATATTTTAATAATCTTTAAATTCATCTTGATTTCTTTAAAGAAATTATTTTAACTTAAAATTAAGAAGAAAATCATAAGACACTATAGAAAATCTTCTTCAAAATTTTGTACTTTTAGATATTAAATAAGACTCAGGAACTTCTATTTCGAGAACAGAATTCAGTGCAATTCTATAAATATCTTTATTTTAAATAAACCTTTTTTTCTAATATCCACTCAAAAAATGCATAAAATAATAATATATACATACACTAAGATCGTAACGAACTTCTCTGACTCTTCTATTATAAACTTGTGCATAAGAAAAGATTGGTGGACTATTTGGTTCACTTGCTTCAACAACAATTATTTTAGCATCATCAGGAATCATGTCACAATCACGAGCAACACTCAATGCTGTTAACATATTATCACCTGTATTAAAACAATTTAATAAAGATGAATATATATATTAGAAAGACAATAATAAATATACCAGTACACATTATTGTTCGAATATTAGCATTAGAAAGAATTTTTAGAACTCCTAAATTAATTCCAAAAACAAAATGAATTATTTATTTATTTATTTATTTTATGTACCTTCTGTTTGTGGTTTGAGACGATTTTCCATAACCACAAGACCAATAAAGATAAGATCATGTTCAATCTTTTCTCTATTTTTATTTAAATCAATAAATCATATAGTACACTTTTATTATTATTATTATTATTATTATTATACAATAGCCATTCCATATAAGTCACGACCTATCACCATTGCAGGATGCTCAATCAGGTTCTTCGGTTTGTACGAAATCTCTTCCATCTTGTAGAACATACTGTTTTAGGTAGATAATCAAATTTTCAATCTTATTGGAGAGTGCTTTATCAGGATATTAAGGTCGATTTCGAATGATTTTTCATTAGGATAGAATGAAAATAGAAAAATTATCTTTTAAATAGATTTTTTTTCCTAAGATACTGATATGAAATCACTCCAACTTTCTTTTTAAAATACTAAAAAACTAAGAACTATTTTGACAGTATAAGCAAAAGTTTGGTATGTCTGCTGATTGAGCAGAACAGGTCGTGGCGCATGTGGAGTGGCTTATTCGTAACTAACCGTTCAATTCTTTGGATTTTGACATAACTTAATTCTAATGGTTTATAAGCAAGTGCTAATACTCGATAACCTTGTTTAGCATATGATGAAAGTATTTCATTAAAATTTTTTGGAACTATTAAAATACAAATATATATATATATATTTAAATATAAATGACATTTAATATAAATATATATATATTGTATCTCACTTGTTTCAGGTCTTGAAAGTTCAGCTATTTTTTCTGGTGAACCTTTTGTTAATAAATCAAATGAATCTTTTGCAAGAATTCGAACAATAACGCTTGTTCGTTGAAGTGATGAACTAAATGGTAATTGTCGAACAATACCAATTTCGAATGGAATATGCTATTGACAAAAAAAAATCAATCAAAAGTAAAGAATTATGATTAATAATGTTAACTTACTCCAGCAATAAGTGAACTAACAGAACCTGAAAATCTACCTAATGGTGATATTGTCTGTTTAGGTGTATTTATTGGTCGTACAATTGTTGGAAAAAGCATATCAAAATTAGATTGTTCACTAGCAGCTGGTTCATATAATTCATATTGTGTAAACGCAAGCATTTTAAGATCAAGTGGATCACCAGCAAGTTCACCATTTATTCTTGTTAATGTATGACATGCTAAAATTATTTTAATTGAAAATTTTCTTATGATTTATTATATCATGTTTTTTTTTTATAATTATTACCTGCCATACAAACAATAATCATACTATGAGCTTCATCTTCATGCCAATTTAAATCTGTTACTTCAGTTATTTCAGAACCAAATTCAATTTGTTGCAGATCATTTGTTGTATCATATGAATGAAGAATTGGTAAGACACATTGAAGATCAAGTCCATCTTCAGTCAATGTTCCTGTCTGATTAAATATAAAACATATATTTCAATATAGAAAAAAAAAAAACTATTTTTTTTTTGTTTATAAAATGAACAACGAACCTTATCAAAGACAACAGTATTAATTGAACCACATATATTAATAGAACGAGGACTAATACAAAAAATATTATCTTTTTTTAAACGATTTTGTGCATAAACAAGACCAGCCGATAGAGCAGCAGGAAGTGCAGGTGGTACAGCAATTGTAATAACATCAATAGTACGTTTAAAAATGGTAGAAGCACGTTCATGACGCATTATCTAATTAAAATAAATTAAAATCTTTAATATTTTCAAGAATATATATTTATTAAACTACAATGATAGAATATAATGATAAAAATATCTTACTCGCAGAACCAATGAAAAGATCATTCCACCTAAGGCAATTAATGCCATTCCGCCTACATATTTATATGTATCCGTATTAAATTTAAAATCAACCGGCTTCGGATAAAGTATTGATCGAACAAGTTCACCTTTAGCTGTACTAAATGCTATAATATATTGAAAGATTAAATCATAATCTTATCTACAAAATAGATTTTACCTGTTCGAAGGACTATAGCTCGTACATCACCAGCACCATAATAACGTGTTTGAATAACAGATGTACCACTGAATAATATAAATCGATTATGATCATGAATATCAAATTTTTGATTAAGTGCAGGATTATCTGATGATGATTGATAATAAGGTATTTGAACTTTAGTTACAGGAATACTTTCACCTGTTAGCATTGATTCATTTACAATAACATTTCCATTTAATAGAGCAGCATCACATTGCATTGTTGTTGAACTACGTATTACAATTACATCACCTGGTACAATATCTTCACTAATTATATCACGTTGTTCTTCTACAAAAATTAAATAAATAAATAAATCCTATTTAAAAAGAAAAAAAAAAGAAAACTATTTAAAACCTTCGAAACACTAGAATATCCTGTCTAAAAATCCATTTTCTTTTAAAATAACTTCTGCAACTTATTAGTTTCTTTTTAGTATTTATATCCATCATAATGTCTAAGTCCAGTATGGACAATATTTTGTTTCCGTCGTCATAGCGACATATCAGTTGCAAGTTAAAAAGAACAACTAAGAGGAAAACACACTTTATTAAAAAATGAGTTTCGTTATTGAAAACATATTGTGGAGTTAATTCAGTGCTCTTTTGTAATATAGTCTGAAAAAAAAATTTCTTGAGATTCTCTATATGAAAAAAAATGTTCCCATGATCATAGGAACTAATTGATACAGTACACATTCATATAGGTCACACATAATGAGACCTTTTCTAAAATAGGGACGTATTCAATAAAACCTGTTGTGTATTAGTTATAAGATCTCTTCGCCTTTGTACTTTCTTCTAGAAATTCAGGAACGTTTTTATTATAAAGCAGTGCATTCATAATTGAAGAAAACGTATTTTCAGGTATATATATTGATATTTGTTCTATGAAGTATTTGTTTCGCTTCTAAAAGCATGTTTTTTTTCTTAAAAAATTATGAAAGCATTTTTTGCAATACACACAAAAAACTTTAAACTGTTTCTTCGCAAACAATTATACTCATTGATGTTAACTTGAGACCAATAACTATATTAGTAGTATATTTTACTGAGAATGAATTCCTTCTATACTATTTAAACCTCATCCTAAGTAGCTTATTTAAATTGATTTGACAAAAAATTATTTAGTTTTTTTTCTTCAGTAATTTAGGTATTGGGAATGTTAATTCGTGTCAGTGACAGATCTTATTCTTGAGAAAAAAATTAATATTATTAGACACTGTATCAAACTGTCAGGATATGTTGACTACATTGTTCTAAGAATACTCTTCTTACCACGATTATGTCCTTTTTTTTCACAGAATATCATCTATTTCTTTCTCATTCTATGCATATGGAATAAGAGAAATAATTTGATTTCCTAAAGATGTGTTCAGCACCAGTAACTTGAAATTAAGAATTATTGACGAGACTACCACAAAAATACGACTTAAAAGAAGACCATCCTTGTAACTCATGAACGATGAAATAGAATAGCAGATCCCGAGTCTTCTACTCTGTCGAAGACTTTGTTAGAATATACCTTCATTTGTTTCAGGGTTATATATTACAACAGTTGTTACTTCGGATTGATGAACTGTATCACGTAAAGCTCGCTCATTCTATGAATAACAGAAAATATTTTATAAATAGTTTTGAAATATTTTTCTGATAAGAAAGCTAAATACCTTTCGAACTTCGCGTAATGTGATGATAACTGAAACAACAGTTATGAAAACAATGCACGATGCATAAGCAACATATTCATCAGCAAACCATGAGATACATGAAAATAATTGAAAAATATAGAATGGTGATAGAACCTTCAATGAAAGAAAAAAAAAAAAAAGAAAAATCATTGAATAATTAGTTTTCAATATTAAATTTTACTTCTTTTATGAGTAAATGTAAGATAGGAGTAAGACGTAGACTGATGCTGTTTTCACCAAAAATTATTTTTCTGCTCAAGTCAAAAGAAAATTTTGAAAAAATAATCGCTTGAGTTTTATATTAATTACTTTTGTGCACGTTGTTCGACAGTTAATGGACGAATCTGACAAAAATAATCACATTTAACATTGTGCTCAACACCTCTGTTAAGAGAGCAAACAAGATTAAATTAATTATTTTTATTATTTTTAAACTTACAGAAGTTTGTTAAATTTATATTCAGCTTCTTCCCAAACATAACGCCATCGTTTATTAATAAAATATCGATGAATATCCTTCTAAAACATATCAAAAAATTTACTAACCAAAAAAAAACAAACAGATTGATAATTTTATCGATTGTCATGTTCGTTTAGTTTTCAATTCATCTTATCATTGTCATATAACATTACTGAATTATTATTATTTAAAAAATACTATAGTTTCTCTGATTTTCATAAACACGCCAGATCTGTACGATCATCCTTATTCTTATCTTTAATAAGTATTCTAAGTAAAATACAGATATCAGTCAATGATCATAGACTATTTTGTCAAAGATGCATTCATTTTCATGTATATAAAAAGAAATTATATTGAATAGATAACAATTACATTACAAATGATATCTATGAAATCAAATTAGATGTGATCTAAATAACATCAAATCAATGAACATTTGTTTTAGACAAATTACAATATTGTTGTGATAAAATATAGTTTAAAAAAAAATAAGCGTGTATTAGATTGCAGGCTTTATTGAAAAGGATGTATTGACGATAGGATAGAAAAAGTTATGATTATTATTAATATTATAAAGTATATTCACGTTAAAAATATTGATGAAAATTAAAATAGTATAGATATGATAGACATGATTATTTTTAGTGTGTCATATGTATGAGTGCATTTTATATTATTATTAACTATTACGTTTTCAAAATTATATATAATCATTTCTTGAAAAGCACCATTTTGATAACACCATCTCTGAAGAAAAAAGTATACATAAAGATGAAAAGCATACACAATACAATTTTTTATCATGCATCAAACACGAATATGTATATACGAAGATCATGTCACCACTGGCAAACAAAATGAATATACCTACCAGTTGTCGACATGCGTCCTTCTTTGGCAGCGTATTAGAGCTGCTCATGAGAAAAGGTTCACCTGTAGACTAAATATTTTCGTTTATTATTTATTATTTATTTTCTTTTTAAATCAACATATTATCTTAGCAACATCATGAAAGTTTATCTTTATCTTTCAACTTACGTCATCTGCTTGTTGTTGTTGCTGCTCAGAAAGACTATTACTTCTTGAAGTATTTGTAGGAATAGAATTGCTTGAGGTTAAAAAAAAAAACGAAGAAGAATATTGAGATCACTATAGATACGAAAATACTCTACTGAAAATGATTTGAATTATTTGAATTTGGATTAAAATTAATTTTGAGCACAGTTTCTACATACCATTGTTTATATCGATCCTAAGATTGAATAGAAAAGATAAAAAAAAAAACAAGTTTTTTGAAAAATATTCTCGAAGATTTTTGTATACTTTCAACAGAACATATTGGCAAACAGCTAAATCAGCTTGAATACAACAACATTGAAGAAACCAATGAGGTTTCCAATAGAATATTAAACGAAGAAATCCCACAGTTAAAATAATAAATATCCATGTAATAGTTGTTCGTGTTACCGATCGAGAATAGCCATATAAAATCTAAGTGCAATAAATATTATAAAATTTGTAACTGAAATATTTTTTTCACACACAAATTGATCGTCTGTTCCATCATTAACTACTTGATATGAACGAATGCCACCTTGTTGAGGCATTGACTTTGATGAACCAATCTGAAAACAAGACTTAATCGATAATAATTATAGAGAGATAAAATTAATACTTGATAAAGTTCCAATACTTTGTCGTCATAATGGCGATTAGTCATGGATACCGATTTGTTCTATTTTCTGTTAAAGTGCTTCACCTTCACCACTCTTGTCTCTAATAATATTATAAATGAGGAGACGCGTTTTCAGCCTTGTCGTAATCAATAATAAATAAAAACCCTTTTGTTTCTATTCTTTTATGATGGGAACTAACTTATGATTTTTTTTTCTTCTTATTTTTAACATTTTCTAAGGATTTATCTTGAGAATGTATATCGATAAAAAAACAACCAGAAATTTTTCGTATAATCCAGTACGCTTATTATTATCAACTGGTTTTATTAGTCATATTTACCTACTGAGAATTTAGAAAGACGGTAATAAAAACGAATAGAACACAGTGTAAAATGACAAGAGTCTCGATAATCAGTGAAGAAAAACATACATAAAATATGGCGGCACGGGTCTTTTTGATAAGAAACATTTATTTTTGCCATTTAACATTGTACTCACACTACATACAGAGCATGCGTAAATTTATTTGGCCTAAATGCGAACGAAAACAAGCGAGGTGTAAAGAAAAAGAAAAAAAAATGAAAAAAAGAAATGTATGTATATGGATAAATGAAAAAGTAGAAATAATAAATAAACAATGAAAACTATCATATTGGATAGCAAACCTACCAACGGGAAAACGGCAAGATGTGGTTTGTATAAAAGCTGCTGTTTCGATTAATTTTTATAAAACATGTGTTTTAATAAGAGGACAATGTAAATATATGAGATAATCGACACCTGTTGAGTTGTATTTTACGTGAGAAAAAGTAGTAAAAAGTAATTTTTGAGAAATTATAAGAAAAGAAAAAGATTTTCCCGTGTGATGATCGCTCGGTAGGCAGAATCGAACTGCTACGCCGCGAAGCGTCCCTAGGTTTGAAGCCTAGCCCCGGCACCAGCCGAACTCAACCGAGCAGTAATATAATTCAAGAATTCTATTATATATTGAAATACTTAGGTTTTAAATATCTGAAAAGAAATGCGGTGAATTGATTTCAGGTCACTCTGGTCATATAGTGACACCTGTCAATATGTCATATCTAGTTTTAAAAATTAAAATATAGAATGATTATCTAGAGTTTTCAAAAATAATATCAGAATATTTATTTGATATGTTACTATTGACATCTATCATAAAAATTTTATTTGATTCAATTGTGAACAAATCGTTTTTCTGCTATTTACCATTTACATCTTCAATATATTTCTTCGATTCTAAACTGAAAACTTTATTTCAATTAGAATGTCGGCTGATAGTAATAGCGGTAATAAATCTTTTTGGCCTGTAAAAACAGCTTTAAAAGAAAAAATTATCGTACTCTACGATGCTTTATTAACTGTATGTTCTAAATTATTTGAATTATATTCTATATTGTTTGTTTTTTCTTTGAAATTCAATACTAATCTCTAGGGTGATCAACCATGGCTTGAGAATGGTCATTTTTGGGATGATTTCTTTCTTTTGAAAGTTAATGCAAAATACTTATTAGAAGAACTTGAACGAACTTATATTGATAAACCTGCTGTACTAAAAGTATTAATTCTTTTTCTTTGACGTTTTTGTGATGAAAAAATAATTCATTTTTAATTGAATTTTTTTTTATTAATTAATAGCCTCAATTGAATACTCTTTTTGATCAATGTCTTATTTTTGTCAATTCAACACATCGTATTCGACTATTAAATGCTTATTATGTACGTACGATTGTTTATATTTTCATTAAAAATATCATTTTTTTTGTTTTGTTTATTGTCTAGACTATTTGTATTCTAATACATGCAATAAGTCGAGTCAATCAACGAAATGGTTTTGGCTATCCAGCATTAGATTTTCTTTGTGGTAGTGAAGGAGTTGACAATAAATTTGAAGTAAATTTATTTATTATTATTGTAATTTATTGATATTTTTGTTTTGTTTTTACTAGACTCTAATTGAATCAGTTAATCATACATTTCTTATTGATGAAAGTTTTTCTGGTAGTACTCTTTTAAAAAATGCTGCATTTGATGTTATTTTAACATGTTGTACAACAATGTTAAATATAAATGAAAATATGCTTATGGATTATATGATGGCAAATGTAAATCTATTTGATTCAATTACACAATTATTAATACGTTCTCCAGCAATTCATGGCTATGATGTTTGTCTTCTACTTGCACTTCTTTTACAATACCATAAATATGATGTAGGATAAACGAAATTTGTTGTTTGTTTTGTTTTTTCATTCAATGAAAATCAAATATATTGTTTATATATTGTAGACATCGAATACATATATTATACGATTTTCTGTGTTTGATGATGAAGTTGCTTTAACTGTAAGTAAATTAAAAATAAAATTTTTGTTTTTGATTAAACTATTTGTTGTTTTAGAGTTTAGCACAAGTTATTGGTTCATCTCTAAATGAATATAATAAGTAAATAGAATTATTTTTTTAATCAATAAAAACATTTTGAATTGTAGAGCTTATGATATTGAACGAACAGCAAATGAATCATCATCATGGTGGAGTTCTTTAACAACATTTGTAAGTAGTATTGTCGAAGAAACAGATTAGATTACTTATATACTTTCAGTGTCATTTGAAAATTAGCGAATAAATGCGATTGTTGAACTCAAATGTAATTTTATCTTATTTTAATATACTATATATAACTAATGATTATAACATATTGAAAATATATTCTTAGATAATGCAAATAGAATAACAAAGCTTTAGGTAAATAAGTATGAAACGATGAGTAATAAGGATAAGTATACACAATTGATCATTGAACAGAATGACATTTGTTTGCTCTAATGCAAAGTAGAATACAAAACATTTATTCTTTGACTATTTTTATACTATTAATGAAAGTACGTAAAAAGTAAATTTTCATTAGAAAATCTTTTTTTTACATATGCAGAAGAGTGTAAAAAAATCACTTTATTTTAATACATTAATTTACTCGATCTCCGTAGTCTAAGTTTCATGAAAATAATTTATCATTTAAAGATTATATGTCTATCAACAAATCGATCAGTCATTTTATACTACTGGAATAACGTTTATAGTATTCAATGAAAACCTTACACGTTAAAAATTCATTTGATTCTACAAATAATTGACAAGTTTGACGATTGATATATATTCCGAAATGATTAAAATCATTGGCAAGGTTTCATTAGAAAACATTGTCATAGTAAAAACTGAAACTAAAACTTTTTTCCGAAACATACGAAGATTTTATTTATTTATTGATAGTAATCAGAGACTATCATTGTAAGCAAAACACAATTGTTTAGAGTTTTTGAGAGAAGAAAAACTTTAGAATGTTCTCATTTCATTATGATGTTTATTTTAGGTAGGTTCTGCAATTCAATCTGGAGGTGGAAATCGTCGAATGAAAAAGTACTATCGATTAATATCTTGAATAATATATATATATACATATTTTTTTTCTAGAGTGGATGATTGTCTATTGCTGACATTTTATGAAGCTGTTCATCTTAATCGAAATTTTATATCAGCACTCACACATGTATATATGCTATATAAATACATAAATCAACGAGTATTTTTTTTATTTATAGACAGCAACTAATACATGGACAACAAAAGGATCATCTTTATCAAATAATGATGCTTTACCTCCATCATTACCAGCTTTCTCATCAGCATCGATGCTTGTTGGTTAGTAAACTTTTGATTAGTTATAATTACTTGAATTTTTTTTTCTTTTTTTTTAAGCTCAAGATCAAACAGATTTTTCTAATATAGATGATTTTTTAGCATCAAATAATCTTCTTTCGGTTTTTCTTGAATATTGTTCAATTATTCAACAATTTTCCAAAAGTAAAAAAGAAAAAAACAAAAATTCTTTATTTCTATTTGAATTCTAATTTTAGATGAAGATATGTGTAATACAACAAAATTATGTTATTTAATACTTCTTTGTATAACAGAAGATGAATTTGCTAATGCAACAATGCATGATGAAAATGTTACATTTAGTGTTTATCTTCATAAAGCTGTATGAATAAATCTTTTTTTTCAATCGATAATAAAATTTTGTTATTTTGTTTTTAATTAAATAATTTTAGCCTATGCGTCATCGTAAACGTGGTAATGAAAAAAATCTTCCATCACGACCATTAGCTGTTGCACTTTTGGATTTAATGATGGAATTTATTTGGAGTCATATGATGCGTAATTTTCCATTTGATCTTTATACGTAAATTTTCTTCTATTTTCAAAACTAAAAAAAAAAATCGATTGTTATTTTTTTTGTTTTTATTCTTTGATTCGAATAGAAAATGTATTGGTATTATTCAACGTATACTTTCATTTCAAAAACGTACTCGAACACGTTTATCATATTCATGGAGACCATTATGGAATGGTAAAAAAGAAATTTTGTTTCTTTTTATATAATATCATTTAAATATAATTTAGCATTGATAAGTCTATTAAAATTTCTACAAAATTGTGAATCACAATTAACTAAACATCGTGATTTATTTCAATTAGCTTCGAAAATTATTAATATTTTTAATTTATTTATAACATTTGGTGATACATTTTTAAGAACACCTGAAGCATATGATGAAGTTTTTTATGAAACAGTACGATGTTATCATGTATTTGATAATTTATATGCATTTGGTAAATAATTTATTAAGTTTTATTTTATTTTATTTTTTTTCTATTGAAAATTTTATAGCTTGTCGATATGCAAATAATGAAAATGAATTTAAAGAATCAGCATTAAAATTAATGGTTAATTTAACAAATATTAAGTAAAAGAAATATATAAGAAATATTTTCATTTTAAAATTGATTTATCAAAATTTTATTTTTAGACTTATAACACATCATTTTAATACAAAAATTGAAGCCATTTCAACTAGTCAAAACAATCCATTAACAGAAAATCAAGTATAAAATTAAACTTTCTATTTAAAGAATAACGACTTATTTAGTTTTTTTTTCTTTATTTAAAAGGTACTTGATATTATTCGAAATAATTATGATACTTTAGCACTTAAATTACATGATGATCTTGATCAATATGATAATTACTCAGAAAAAACATCTGAAGCATCATTCTTTGCTAATATAGTAAGTTTCATTTCTAATCATCAAACTCTATAACCGATACATATAGTAAGTTTAACAGCGCAGTAGGAAGTTGCGGGTCCTTTTAGATCCTGTTCCAAGTCTATAGAAATATGGACTGACAACTCCCTATAGAATGCACTGAGAAAAAACAATCTAGTAAATGAACATACATCAACAACTCAGAGTAATCTATCTTCATTTCATTTAAACAGAATGAATAATTATGAAAAAAAGTCACCTTAGGTCTAAACATGAGTTAAAATTCAAATAGGATAGGAAAAGGTTTCTTTGATAACTTAAATTATACTGAAACTATTGTTTTCTTTTCTCTAGACACGTAATACAATTGGACATTATCGTCGACAATATACATTGGATACAAATAGTTCTGTACAACTTTCAAATATTCTTCTTAATGAAGTACCAACAATCAGTTAATTGATCAATTACTAAAAATCGTTAAAACAGAAACGTATCAGACTTTTATCTCATAACTGATATATTTCCCATATGTTTGGATGTTTCTGTGATAGTCATCAATTGGTTGTGTTGGGTTTATCTTTTTTTTGACTTTTTCTTTTTGTTCATTATACAACAAATTAGCAATTTTACTTGTATATACGAAACCTTGATTATTCTAGATGACAACAATAACGTTGACTGTGACTCCATTTCAAAACGAGTAAATTTTGTTTTTCTGTTTCGAAATAATAAATCATTATTTAATTGAATACTTTAGTCAAGAAGTACGAAACTTGATTGAACTTGCTTATTCAAATGAAATTGACGATAAACGAGAAGCAATTAATAAAATTAATGAATTAGAAGCAAGGTTTGAATAACTTTCTAATAAATAATATTTATTGAATTGAATGAATTTTTTTGATAATTTTTAGAATAAGTCAATTACCCATGGGTCTCGGTTCATTAAAACATATTCTTAAAGTTGAAATAATTCGAGCAGAACAACAAGAACAAAATAGAATTGATAACAGTACTTTACAATATGCTTGTGCAGTAGCTGTATTAAAGTAAATTCATGTTTAATACTTCAACTATTATAACAATATAAATTCAATCAAACATACAGAGTAGTAGTCAAAAATATAAAATCAATGTATTTTTTTTTCCTACGATACTAACCATTTAACTCAAATCAAAATAATGATTTGAATAGTCAATGAAGTTCTCTATCAAATGCCTTTCATATGGAAATTTCATAGATGATCTATTCAAGAAAGATTTCTTGAAAAACCAAACATTGAAGTTTTCAGACATAGAAGAATGTTTAAAAAGACTATTTACAAGAGTAAGCAAAAATATCATGAATACAATAAATGATCATAATATTTCATATGACCTTTCCTTAAAAGTTTATAAGCATCATAAAAAATGAAAAACAATCGAATTTATTATAACATTACTAAAAAATGTATTTGTTTCTTGTGATGCTCATTAAGTTTTGAAGAGACGACTGTAAGTAATGTGGCAACCATTCATTTTATTAAATTTTTAGACTTCTTTAAGATAGTACTCTTAAAACTTTACTTCTAAAATTTTTCGAGATCTGTGAACTACTTTGTTTAGTTTTCGAGTAACTTTCCTCTCATAGTCTACCTATGAAAATTTTGTATGGAATAAATTTGATAGAGACATTCAAATCACTATTTCAATTTGATTGAAATGCTTAGTATAGTACGAAAAAAAAAACAAAAATACATTGGTCTTATGTTTTTGACTACTATTGTACTAAAGATTCACATGCCATTGTTAAGTTCTTTATTATGAATTTTATAAATTATTCTTTTCTTCAAGATTCGTCGATGCTGTTAGTGTTCCTTATCGTGTTCATCATTCTCGTCTTTCATATCGAAATATTGCTAAACAAGTATGTCTTAATTTTTTTCAATTTCATTCATTCGTTTTGTTTTTATTTTTCTCTTTCATTTAGGTTGATTTACCTGGTAATATAATTAGTTTACGTCATGATATTGCTCATCATCATGAATTACCATCATTATATGATTTACTTGCTGCTATTGATTTTAGTAAACAATGGCTTCGAGTTTGTTTTCATAATTAATATTTATTTAATAGATTTTATTTATTGATTTCTGTTATTATAATAGAAAAATTGTCTTGATGAATTAGTCGAAACAATGACACTTTTTAGTCAAGGTTCATATAGTGAATTACTTGAAATAATTGCTCGTGAAACTGTTCAAGCTTATGTTGAAGCTCGTCTTAATGTTTGTTTTTTATTTTCTTATAAATTATGAATAATAAGAAGAAAATTTATTTTCTTATAGTTTTTCATAAAACGAAGTAAAAAACGATTACAATTAGTTGATGAACGTGTTGAAGAAATACGTAAAGCATTACAAATGTGTAATGGAAAGTAAGTAAATATTAAATCATATTGAAAGAAAAGAATTTTATTTAGAGAGATAATGGCTGAAATTTTTGTACGATGTGGTAATTTTATAATGGTACCAAATCAATTAACACGTCTTGCTTATGATTCAGGTAAATGAATATAGAAAAAAAAAAAAAGAAAAACTTCAAATTTTTCTAATGTATGTTTCATTTACAGAGTCATCTGATCTTCTTCCAGCATGTGTAATTCAATTCTGGAAACCTATTATTCAATTAATTCTTAATGATAATAATCTTATTTCATTAATTATTGATAAAATATTAAATTTTATAACTGATTATTATCGATTATCATCAAATGATTTTTCAATAATTGATCGACAAAGAATTGGTTGGATTTTTTATTTAATTGAACAATCATCAACTAAACTTGATCTTTGTTCAATATTTATACGATTAGTACGTATTCTTCAACCATGGTTTGCTGAATCACTTTCACAAATGGTTGTTCGTATGTCGGATGATATGAATGGAACTCGACAACCATTAATTAGTGAACAAAAACGTGATACACTTCTTCGAACGATTTCTATGTTTGCTAATCCATTTGAAAATATTAATAATGAACAATCAACAATAGTTTCATCACTTGAAATTTTACCACGTAATGAATTATATAAAAAAGAAATAACTATGTTTAAGAAACGTAAGATTAAAATATTTTTTTTTTTTTACTTATGATTATTTTTGATTTTAGGTACAACTTTAGCTGACGTTCCAGCTGGTTTACTCAATAATGAAGATGAACAAAATTTAGAAATGAATATTGATCTTTCAAGAACTGATCGAAATTGTATGTTATAGTTTTTGAAAATTGACTTTTCTTTTATAGATTTATTTTCATTAGTTCTTGGTTGTACAACTAAACGAATATTAGTGGATTCATTACCAATGAAAAGAAAAAGAAAAAGTTCACGTATGAATATTCTTTTTTTTTTTTTTAATAGTTACTCATATTGTATTATTTTAATTTTCTAGCTTCAATTGATTCAAAGTTTTTTCATGATCTAATTTATCCTCGACATCATTATCGATATTGAACATTTCTTTTTTGGGGACATTAATTCATAATTTGTGTTCTCAGTCAGATGTATTTTTCTTGTGGTTATTCATTATAAAATGATTTTTTTCTCAATTTTATTTAGAAAAATGATAGCGAAAAAAAGGCAACAAGTTCAAAGACTTGAAAAATTCTCAAAAAATGGTCATCTATTTATAGAAGTGCTTTTTTATATAATAATACAGAAAGCTTCATTCATAAAACCAATCGTACCAAGTACTGCAGCTTCCACATGTTCTTTCAAACAAAAAAGCAGCAGTTCGCTACAGTGAACCTCCTTTAGAAACTATGGAATGCGCGTTGAAATACCGAAGTCGAGGGTGAAGTGAGGTGCGGATGTAGGTCGATATGGTTGTAGAGTGTAGATAAAAAAACAACTGTATAGATCACATGTACACCCTTACGGTTCAAAATAATATGCTATATAGCTGATGATGACCGTACAAAATGAACTACAAGGTCGAAAATTTCTATTGTAGAAGGTTTTTACATTAAACTGCAATATTTCGCTTTACTATATTATTAGTGATATTTGTGAGTTTAATTCTTCCGTCAGACGTTGGATTAAAGGTTTTCGAGGTTAAGAAACCTAAAACTGTAATCGATTTCTCAAAATTGATGGATTTGACTTTTCTATCAGGTGAAGGATTTTTAACGAACATAACATTCTTTGGTTTGGTTGAAGACTTACGAGGTCGAGGAATTTAAATCTCTAATCAGTGTCTCAAAAGTATGTGAAACCAATTAGCGATTCATATTTCTCGACCTTAAAACCTTTGATGGAGCTTTTCAAAAATTCGTTATTTTCGAAAAATATCCTTCTCCTTAGGAGAAAATCTAAACAGAATTGCATTCGCCTCAGGACTACCATTTGATTAGATAATTTCAAGTGAATTGAATGCTAAGTAATAAATTTAATTTGATTTTACTTCAAGCTAAATTGTACACATATAGAAGTTTCATGGGATTTCTAGATGTAGTGAATGCTCATGGAATCCCGAAATCTGTAGAAGTCTTTTGAAACATCATGAAAAACTGAAGTCTCTGCTGTTGAAACCAGCCAGTCCCTTCTCTGTATTACTTGCTAACTGAACTTCTAGAGATATTCAATAGGCAAGAAATCGATAAAAAATTCAAGATATCTATTAACTTGTTCGTTTTGTTAGTGGTACAACATAGAGTCTCAGTGGATGGAAGACTGCTCACCGTAGTCCACACCTAGATATGTCACTATTTAGAATTTGATCCATTTCAAAAGTATAAAGTTTTGGTTTGTGCAAAGCTCTTCATAAAAGCCACTTTCATGGATAAACATGAAGTACACAAACAACAGATATTGCTCGACCATTGATTTTTCACAACTTGATCCTATGGTGCCACTTGCTAATTTAATTTTCAGGGTTGCTAAATAGTCAAGAAAGACAATGAAAAGTTTCAAGGTAATCATAAAGTTTATCTTTTCGCTAGTGGAAGGACGGCGTCCTCTCCAGCCTTCCCTAGAGACGCCACTACTTGGATCCATTATTCGATAAAAGTGGCATCAAAAGCGTCCCATAAAAAGAAAATTACATCAAATTTTATTTGTTGAAATTTAGCTAAGAAACTGATAACTGTGCAATCAAAGCCATCCTTAACTTCTATCCTCACTCGATAAAACAAAAAAAACTTGAGATATAGAACAGAGAAGGAAGAGGGTAGAAAAGAACATGCCATTCATTTGATCGAGAAATAGAGGATCCATGACTATTAAATGTGATGACAATATTAGATGAACAGTCAAAGCAATTGATAAATCTTAGTTATTTGACTTATATATCTGTGTAAGCCAATTCTGAAAGAGAAAAATGTAGTACTACAGTAGAATTTATCTGCTATACGACGGTGAGTAAATGAAAAAATTAATAAATCAAAAAAAGAAATGTAATTCATCCGTTTGTTTCCTCTACTTTTATCTGTTCTTCATATTTTCTCTGATATAGATAAGCTGATGAGAGAGAGAAGCGAACTGTTGCACACAATGAACAATATGGTGTTCACTGGCTTAAATTTGTGCCTTGAACTTTGTGGTTGTCGAACGTACATGAAGAAAATGTCGTGGTTCTATCCATCATCTGCTTTTTTCATCATCTAGCTTTGTTTATTCTGACTCGAAAAGTAATCTCATGATATTCATACACTGGATTCTAAGCCACGATATTCAGCGAAGCAGATATCCAACTTGATATACATATATCTATGGAGTTGAGCATTTTTAGTGAATTTGACATGGGTATATGGGTTTTGAGAAGTGAAGAATCAAGATAAGATTTATACCCACATTCTTGTCTTTATATTTTGAATTCTAGAAATATATGAATATCAACTTGGATATCTATCTCATTACATCAAAATTATTCTATATTGTTAATTTAGCGGCATAACGGTACCGCGAATTCCATTAGGTAAATTTCCTAACACCTGTATTTTGAAGTTCGATAACCGAATTATGTATATTATGACATTTCTCATTAATTAGATAAAGAAGTTTTCTGTCTTCATGCTATTAGACGAATGTTCTCTATTTAATATAAATAATTTATTCGAAGGAGAAAAATGAATTGAAGAATTTGATCATTTTTGAAATGTAGAGCAACGAATATCAAAGATGAGTTACAAGGAAAACGAAAGATAAAACATATTGCAGGAACTGAAAATCTTTATTGTTTTTTGAAAGTAATGATTTGATTTTCATATTCAGAGATGTGCAACTGTAATAGATAGCTTTCACTTATACTCAATCCTCTAAACAGTAACTTCTTAGATTTATTTAACAGAAGACTATTTGTTTGATGGAATTGATGAAATATAAAAATATTTGTAATATGTAACTGTTTTTTGAAGATTGATGCATCACCTACAAGTTTGAATACTATCACGTTTTCACGTTGTTTTTCTTTTTTTTAACATTGATATACTTCACATCAAATATGTCTTCTAAAATATGTCGACTGTTTTCAATAGATTAGACACAAGTTTAGTTTTTTCTTCTTATATTCAATTTAGCTCCAATTGATTTGTCTGAAAAAGTTCGCATTAAAAATGACAAAACTAATGAAGTTTTTCAATCATATCTAAATATGTTTTTTTTTTTATTTAAACAAATTTATAAACCAATCGTATGTACTTTCATAGGTTGAAGTTACTACATAGATGATACTATTTTTATATTCATATTTATCAATATGAAAAAATATTTTACTAATGAATGTAACAAGAAAGTCAGGTAATGAAAAAAAACGATTTTGTACAAATTGTCCATATTGAGAAATAACATTTTTATCTATTAAATCAATTTGCTTTTTAGATTGCCGAGAAAAAAAATAAAATGCATAATTTTGAAGATAAACAAATGAATTCGATCCAAGAATATATTTATACACATTTAATAAGTCAGATAAATATAAATAGACAAATATAGTAATAGTAAGTAATAAAAAAATCAATCGTTGTTTTGAAAGATTTAAACACATGTTGTTCATTAATATTGGTAATTGTTTTGATCGATCTTCGTGTTCAATTTTCTTGATACTACTATCGAAATTAATTGATCGTTTTGCAAGACTATCACTAACTGTATACTCTTGTTCAACAATAGATTCGAACTCAGATTTGTGTGTGTTCTTTATTCGTTTGATTTGATGATGAAAAATAGTTGCCTCCGGTTCAACTGATGTAATAATTTCTAACTTTGGTAAATGATTTTTATTTATAGACATACATCGATTTAATGATAGTGATCGTTTCGCCCGTACTATTTTCTTTCGTTCCAATGTGTGAATTGTAGTAGCTGCTAATGCTTTCGTCTCAAAAAAAGCACTGATATCTTTAAATGTAGTTGGTAAGAGAATATTATTTTTGTCAACATCTGTTGATGAATACGTAAGCTAAATTAAATTTAATAGTTAAAAAACAGAAGTAAATAAGAAATTTATTCATTATTATTTATAAGAAACAAAAGAATAATAATAATAATAATAATGTTGAAAATATTTCTTCATTGAAAAGTAGATGTAGCAAAAACGAGCATCATTTCACGTACTTTATTTAGTTTTGGAGGTTTTTGTTGTAAAAATTCATTAAGATGTTTATCAAGTGTACATTCGGTCATGTCATAATTCATATTTGTATTTAACGTTCGTTCTTTACTTTCGATATCAACATTCATAACCTGATTATAATTTGTATTTGTTGCTACAAATGAATCTTGCGGTATGGATTTAATAATATATTTATTAGATCTATCAAGAATCGATTCGCTAATAGTAACATTTACAACATTTGTATTTGATAGACTACCAATTATTACTTCATGATCATTCGATTCAATTATTGTTGGTAGAACACTTTGATAAGAATTTCGTTTACGTAAATTTATAGATACTGACTGTGTTCGATCATTATTTAATAAATTTGAACATGGAATATCTTCATCTTCTTCTGTTAGAATTTCAAGATTTGGTATTGATGATGATGGATATGGACGAATAACACGATTTAGTGAATCATCTCGAATACGAGCTATTGTTGATGATGGCCATGAACAATAATGATTTGTTATTGTAGATGAAGACAAAAGATTACGATGATAAGTTAAATTATTATCATTAGATGTGTTCACTTCAAATCGAGTCTTCCACATTGTGTAACAGTACACAAATTTGACAAAAAAAGAAAGAAAAATAAATAAATAAAGATAACACTACAGAAAATGAACAGCAAGAAGCGGGCAAAACAAAACTTTTTTATAAATGAATAAAGAATGAATCATTTTTTTGAAGACAAAATAAAAAATAATTAGTTTTTTCGTTCTTTTGATATCATTGTTTTTTTTGTTATGGGTTTTGCATTTCATCACGTTCGACAAAGAAATATGTATGTATACAGCTTTTGCAAAAGAGGACTTCAGAATCTTCAATGATTTTTTCAGAATGTTATTTTGTGAAGAATATACATATTTTTCCATTCACTTTTGACATTTTTATTGATAAAAATTAGAGAAAAAAAGCAAGATCAAATATTTTTCTCTATTTAAAATCAGCTACGTCTATTGACAAACATACGAAAAATCAATATGAAAGATTGACATCGACATCAATCAACAACATAAACAGAAAAAATGGTCAACCATGTGATTCAGATCGATATTGAACACTCATTGAAGAGTATTAAATCTTTATTTTTGAATTGTTCGACACTATAACTGGCACAATTGATGTTAATTTATTCGTGAATTCGACAGAGAGTGTAACTAAATTAATTAGTAAGTCTTATTGGCTAGACTAAAACGATAATCGCCACAACTATCTTCTACTTTTTCATTCTCTTTCAGCAGAGCCATCATTTAAATCAATCTTTTACGGAAGTCACTACTTCTGAAATCATTAATTTTGTATTGTAATGTAAGCAGAATTTTTATGTCATCTAACGAGATATCTAGTCAGATCGAAAAATATTGGGATTGTTGTTCAAATTTATATGCATTACTATTTTATCTTTATACATCAAATAATCGGAACTTTTTTTATAGAAAGAAAGATTTACGATTTATTTGTATTACTTGTGAAAATACAATTAATTTTAGTAATTTAAAATTGAAATTCTTCTAAAATAATTCGAAATCTGTATGGTACGAATTCCAATTAGTTTTTACTTTCGAATAAACTGCGATTCATTGTTTGTTCTTGTTGTGTTAGTTGCTTTTAATAAATGTTGTTTGCTTATTAGTTATATAGTTGCTGATTCAAACAATTTGACTTTTGTTAGTATTTAAATTCTGAATCGATGAACAACCAAATGAAGAAATGATATGACTGTCCAAGATAATGATATGAGAACGCCACCGGCGAATGTATAACTTGAACTATAAAAACAAACATTTAACATAAATTTATAGAATAGAAACAAAGAAAAAGCAGAATAAATACAGTAAATATGTGTAGGTATAACGACAATCAGTAACAACGAGAAACCAATTTAAATATATCGATGGCGTACACACTGTTGTTAGACACAATTGACATGTATATCCAAAGAGAAGCAAACTCGATACGAGAAATTTAACCACAACTATTGACATCGAGGAATCATTTTCTTGTTGATAGCCCAGAGGTAACCTGTACGATATTATATTAGAAGTCGAAAAAAGCTAAAAATAAAAACAAATTTCACTAACCAAGCAAGGTCCCATCTTAGTATCGATGCACCTAGCCGTCGAGCATAATGAAGAATAAGTATTAAGAACACTATGACGAGACCAATTTCCCATGGAAGAATTTTGTTATAAGAAAGAATAAATATAAAGTGTATAAAAGTAAAAATTATTGATGAGAAGTAATGGTTACAGAAGAGAGAAGGATTATTAGGGTGATAATATTGTTTGTATAGTAGAATTGAATAACCAATAAGTGAAATTACTAGTAGAAACCAGTGTAAAGACGAAATAAAAGTTAATGTTAGTTGCAGTATCAAATGGAGTAAGACGACTTGTATACTAAGACGTTTTTTCAACATCTACAAAGGATATTTAATGTGATGAATACATTATAAAATTTTTCGGAAATCTATCAAGAACAGGATCTCGCCAAAAAAAGTTTAAACGAATTTTCTGAAGGCATTAAAAATACTTAACAACTGTACAAAAATTAGATCAGATTGTGAACATTGTAAAATTAACAATTTCTATAAACTTGTCTATTAAGAGGGTGTGGGTGTTTTATGAATCAGGTAACAATCAGCTCATTAATTATTTATTTAATATAGATATTTACTGTATGAGCTAATTAATAATGACTACTAATCAATATTTACATGTAGATATATATGATTCAATTATTATTGTTATGCAAAATCAATGTATTTGATAGATCTACAAATGTATATTTTGTTCATGAAACCTAATGAAAAAAAGAAAAGACAAGCTTACTATCATAGTCAGTAAAAGATTATTATCTGAATTGTTGTTATTAATTGAATACAATATCTTTTAATATTTTTTACCACTAAACTTAAGTTATCTGAAAAGTAAAAATTAACATAATAATCTATTTTATTCGACTTTCGGCAACGCTTCTAGCAAATGATCAATAGTTTTTGTAGCTGAACGCGTAAAATTGACTAAGATATGAGTGTACAATAATCGTGTCTCTATGTTAATGATTGAATAATTTAGTGTGTTAAGTTGTTGAATGCCATCAGAAGAATAACGAAGCCATTTACTTAGTGCGTCATATCTTAATTAAATAGATAAATACACATTATTGATACTGAAAAACAAAAATCAAATACCTGTTAGATGCAGGTACTTGTTTTTCATGACGAATCATTTTATAACGGCCAATGCTATTTGGTGGTCGACTAATACGATAACCCGCATGACGTAATCTAACAAACTGAAAGGGAAGCGCAGTAATACAAATGATAATTTACAAACCTGTGATTCATATCTAAAAATGAAACAAATATAATGACATATTTTCTTTCTTTTGGTTTACTGACCATCATCTTCGAACTAATGTATTTGAAGAAAAAAAAAACATGATTTGATGCATAAATCATATAAAATACTTACTCCCCAACCCCAATATAAATTTGACCAACCATTTGCTTTCATGAATTGGTCTTTTGTCACAGCAAGAACACCACCGATTAAGTCATTATACATTAAGCTGAAAAGAAGGAAAGAAAGAAAGATCATTGTACTTCTTTAAAGAATTTAATAATGAATTCATCTGACATTGATATTAAATAAATAATTTACTTCAAAATTCTGAACTTATTTATGACAAATGATTTCAGATTTGAACATTATTCAATTTCATTAGTTTATACTGAATTATAAACATAATTCATTACTGTATTCGATATTCAATAATTCAATACCATGTTGCGAATTTATTTTTCTCAAAAACTAGATATTAAATAGATAATTCTGGATGTCTGATAAATAAATGTACAAAACTTCGAACACAAAAGTTAGAGAATATGATCTTGTGCAAGCCGATACAGTTTGATTCTGTTAGATAAACATCCATGCATTCAAGTTCGATCAATAAACTATCAAATTGAATTTAAGAAGTTTTGAGCCTACTTAGCTAGATAAAATATTGCAACTAACATAATGAATCTTTTAATTTTTAAAAATCGTAATTTAGTATCTTTCAGAATTCTTCAAAATGTTGATGGCATGTATCTACTTCAAATAATCTAGATACAAAGGTAACTGAATAATTATTTTGATCTTTGTGATTTTTTTTGTAAAAGAAAAAAAAACAAAGTCATTCATATGTTCAACTTACAAATAGCGCAATTCATCAACTGCTGGTGCTAGATGTCGTGGTCCATGTTGATCACATTCATATACATTATAGTCATTTTCAGGAATAAGATCAACATCATGAAACATGAAACAATTGAATACTGGTGCAGATATTTTTGATGCATGATTAAATGCCACGTTCATGATCAAACCTTTGTTAAAGGTACCATTACCGAACTATAATGATTAAAAAAGAACGTGTTAAATAATGTAAAAACAAAAATCTAATTAATAATATGAACCTGTTCAACAACAAATATTCTATAGGATCGTTTTTGTCGTTGTAAAAATGGATGAAGATGACGTAAGAGCATTTTAAGTTGATATTCGCGATTACGAAATGGAATTATAATAGCAAGATGTTGTCGAGGTGTACAATCACTTGGAGAGTAAATTCCACCTGGAAAAAAAGACAAAATGTTTTCTTCTAGTAATATTTGAGATTTTACGTGTTTGAATTAAGATCCATCTAGAGTTTTCAATCAGAGCTAAAAAAATCTCTTGTTATAAATAATTTTTGAAAAATGTCTATCTGCCCACCACGAATTATAATAGTTCTATAGAAAAAATCCTTAATCGCAAAGTAACTAACAGATGGGCGTATTCAAATGATAAGTGTTTTTCAGTACTATACACTTCTGTTATTTTATTAAACTAACACAGTACTTCTGTTTATGGTCTACTGTTTCTCTGAGACCAGTAGTTTCGTCTCTTCTTGTAAGTGACAATAACAACGTTTGCAAAGTAAACAAATCTGTGTAGGAAACTCATTACACGCATTGATACTCGGCATTCATCGTAGAGTATATGCGCACAAAATTTCAACTGCCTAGCTCTTATAATAAATGCAGTTCAGGGGGAGGGTACCTGGATTTTTGGCCAGCACTGTAAATATTCCATTAAATATTTTCAAAGTGTTTCGAAAAGCAAATTTATCATAAAATCTGCTCAAGTAAGACAGAAAGTGTTCTAAATATGTCGAATACTTTGATATGCCAACAGAACATTAGAAAATTTTACTCGTTGAATCTTCGTTATACTACTTAAATAAATGAATTCAATCATCTGTTTTGACTTCATTACAGAAGACGTAAAAGGAACAAACAACTTGCTGATAATCCTGACATTATTAATATCATCATCATTATTCTATTATGTTCTCATTTGTGTTATTCGAGTACATATGTAGCAAATCCATTTTTGTTTACCTATCTGCACATGTTTGACATGTTGCTCAATATCTGTCCATTCCATATTAGATGACATATCAATTAGTCCATTTCCTAAAACAGATAATAATAGTAGACATTCGACAAAATATACATCATGCTTAATTCTACACATACCTTGCATAGTAGGTGGATACAGTGAACATAATTGAGGGTTTCCTTTCTCGTTATCTTCCATCATGTATTGATTAGCAGTTCTTTCATCATGCTTGTTACACAAATGAATAATGAAAATTATTGTGATGGCAAGAATAATCACCGGTAAGTGTTCACTATTTTTTAGTCGAAGAATTCTTCTACTATTAATCATCGATCTGAAAGTATACAAGAATAGACTATTGGAACTCAAGGTCTCGACGATTAATATTCAATACCACCAAGACAACAGATGGAAGTAGCCAAGTTGCATATAATAACGTAAAATATGTTTTGAAAAGAAAAGGGAGCGACATATATGTAAAAATAACTTTTTTTTTCGCTTCTTTCCATCTTTTCTTTCATGTATCGACATGTTTAAGTTTTCTTACGATTTGTTCTTCTATTGCTGATCAATGTGATTCATCGAAATTGCAAGATGAAATCAATATTGATTTTAATAAAAGCTAAATATATATCAGTTTCACAGAAGAATGTTACTATTTAATTTATTACTTTTATTTTTAATTGTTATATCAATTTATCTCTACTAGAATGTTTCTTAATGTTACAAAGTAAAACATATTGTTAAACGAAAAAAATAAATAAATAAATAAAAATAACTAGGAAACATAAAAATTTGAATTGCTTCACGTGATATTATCACCTGGATCAATCGTGTAGTAAACCTCTGGTCGTCATGAATTTTTTGCTAACAGTTTCAAGAAATATGCATAGGATTTTTTTTTTTCATCAATCGATATTGTTTCTAGCTATAATGAATTTTTATTATTTGTACTAGTCTCTGTTCACGTGATAATTCGTACTTAATACTTAGCTCACTGGGTTATTTCACGTTAAAAGCACCAGATTATCGTTTTTCTAGTGCATTGTTAGAAACTATTCTCACTTATTACAAGGTATATGTTAGTATTGTCTATAGTTTGCATAACATTTTGTTCTTAAAAATATTCAACATACAATGTTTTGAATTGTGCATCAATTGATCAGTATAGTATTGGACTTAAAAATTAAATTCAATCAGTAAAGAATTCTTTTAAATATCCAACTATTCATATCAACTATTTGATTGTTCTCACTTGTCATAATGTCTTTTGAATGTATATTGTTTCGTTGGTATAAACATTCCGTAGTAAATTGATTTGTTGAATAAGCGTTTATTTTCATAAAAATCTTGGATATGTTCAATATTCAATGCTTATAAAAAGAAAAGAAAAGAAACATTCAATGAGACAATATATGAATCTAGTTTTTATTATTTTTTCACGTGTTGCCCTCAAGAAGAAAAGGTAAAACCAAAAAGAAAATAATACTGCATATGTTTGTCTCGTTTTAACCAATATTTATATATACTTTATAATAGAAATAGGTACGAGATTAATTTAAAAAAAACTTTTGAAGTTTAATTATGACTTAACGCAGTAAATATTACATCTGAGTCATGTATATTTTTCGTTCTATGCTCAGGTAAGAAGGATATCATAAAAGAGAGAGAGAGAATATTGTTGTATGCAATCATACGTGATCGTCATGCTTCATTTATGTTATGCTCTTTTTTTTTCTATTAGTATTTGATAGCTTACTCGGTGTTGATCTCATCAGTGTGTATCTTTTTCTATTCTACTACCTTCGTTTATTATTACATCGAAGTCTATGCAAAAGAGTAAAAGTCAAGCTTACATATTTATTTAAATATGAGCAAAGAAAAACTTATTTAACACAATCGAACAAAAACAACATTCTATTATAGCGTGTTGACATAATTAATGCCAAATTTATTACAAAAATGATAAATTTGATTTTTGTCTTTGTACAATATACAAGTATCAAATACAAATAAACTTTCAATTAATGAATCGGTCTTCGAAGTGATGCATTCAAAAAAACAACAAGAATATATAAGCGTGAAATATTTCTTACATAAATACGAAACACTTCGTTTTAAAGCAAAGCTAGAGGCGCATAACAGGATAAATCAGTTCAACTTCAGTTTTCCAACAAATGTATGCATGTCAGTGCATGATTCGAAGATGAATCATTTTATATGAAATTTAATCCATTTAGGAAAAGTTTTATTGGGTACTGACGCATATTCCCAGATCATATTCTTACTCTAATCATAGGACTATGTTTTGACAATAAGTAAGTCAAAACATTTGTTGGTTTAATTATAAATGTTCTTATTCTAAAGTGAAAAATACGTCGCCTAAAATCATATATGAATGATCTAGAAATAATAGATATTAACCAAACTTATGATGAAAAAAAAAGTAGTTGCAGCGCTTTTGTAGGATCTGCCAGAAAACATCAGACTCTTAAGATGCTCCTGAAAGAGCTTGATGATGAGGTTACCTTTTAAAGGTTTTGACAGAGTTTTTTTTAGATGATGTTTTGCTATGCTTTGCTTCTTTTTATTTTTCTGGTTGAAAGTTTTCAAGATCAAAGATTACATTGCATAGTAATCGCTTAAGCAGCTATTTCATAAAGCAGCATCATAATTAGAATAGCAAAGTTACAATTCTTTATATTTGTCTTGTCAGTTGATATAAGATGTTGAGTCGAGGCATATGAAACATCTCTATCGGATTGATAACAACATTTTCATTGTTCGAACATCGTTATAGTGTGTACTCAGTCAGTTGTTCATTTTTGAGATGAAAACTGACATTGATCTATTCGGTAGTGTTTACAGTGAAATTTGATTTTATATAGTACTATTTAACGATATTTCAGTTACATTTTTTGAAGTAAGAATACTTTTTCTAATAGAGTCTAAGATTTTTGATAAGGACTAATTCGAATTCTTCGTCAAATTTCCTTCGAAATATAACAATTTCATAATCAAACTGATGTTCAACTGACTCGACTTTTGAATATTCTCACACGAGTACTAGAACTGAGTTTCCCGAGGATTTTTTGATTTCTATAGAACGAATTAATTTTTAAGCTTGTTTCAAGTATCCCATTTGTTTTGTTAGAAAGTTCAATGTGTCTGCCCAAAATTGATCAAATATCAGTAGAAAAGGAAATTTTTCAGCCACTCGCGAACATTGTGCATTTCAAAGAAGTGTCTTAACTACAAATTAAATTTAATACAATAGTACAATGATATAGAATTTCGAAAGAGCTATTGAATAATTCATAATTCAAAACAGATCGCTAGTTTCAAAATATAATAGGCATAGACTTTCATCATGCATGTTCTCATGTTGTATATACAAGCAAACAATGTCATAGAAAAGAGAAATGACAAGGAAAATATTTAGTCCAACTTCTATTTGCCATTTGACAGTAGAAAAAAAGAGCTTTTATTTGACATATAATTAAAATTGACGAGTTGAAGACGCGAAAGCAAAATTTCCATAAGAACACTGTATCGCATGGCACTATAATAATTAGATTAACATTATCTAGTTCTGAATCAACCTTGCGTAGTCGGAATCAGGTTTAACTGAAATAAAGAATTTCAGACCTTGAGAAGAAGTCAATTTCATTGCTTAACGACTTTTCCTTCTTTATTAGTCTTAGATGTCATCAGTTTGTCATTAAAAATCGGTATGCTAGTCAATATTCAATGTTAAAAGAAGAGTTGACAAGTATCAGCATTATTCTGTTGGTTATATGAAGTTATGTTTCGAATGTTTAAAAAGATACTATTGTACTGCTTAACGTTATAGAACACTTTGATGAATAGTTCTAAAATTTTTTAGACAAAATACACTTCAGTGACTAAGACGAAGGCAACACTAGACTCAATACCTTCACATAGCTCATTCAAGTCAATACAAGGCATGTACATATAAAGAAATAAATTTAAAATTTAAATGTTCAATCGAATAAGAATTTTATTTCGCATAAATCTTGTTTTTCAATTGTTTATATTTAGAATAATTGTATACTTTTGGTTTCATCAAATATATTGATTTCTTTCTATTCAAGAAATAAATATATCGATAGCTTCATTAAAAGGTCACTTATCACTCTTGGTTCGATACCAGTATAACTTCCAATGACTCATAAAAACCCTACTCATTGCTTAATAAATATACAAATAATACTCACTTGAAAAAGAAAAGACTTCAAAAATGAATATCGACGAGTGTAAAACAACTACAAAAGATCAGTGTTTCTTCTTCATCGTGTTGTCCAATATTTTTTTGCATATATTTGTCGTTATAGAACTTGTAAAGCAGCTATTGCAACCGGTAACGTTCGTTTGATCCTATGAATCGAGTTTTTTCGTTCATGGTCACATAGGTTGTATCACAATAATGATATATCTGGTAGATCAAGTGTGAATGAAAAATCTTACCAGTGATAGGATTCAATACTAGTTGGTTGAACCTGAACGTGATGATCGCCAGCAGAGAAGCATATCAGAGAAACATATATGCCATAGTATTTTCTTGCCGAAAAAAGATAAGCAATACGAAATTATTGTCTCAAGATAAAAATTTCCAAAAGCATATCTAGATGATGACTTGAGTATTAAAATTTGTCTTCTATATATGAATATATATTATTCAACAAAAGAATTTGTTATTTCTCTTATAGAGAATTTGTACTTACTATAAAAATACAATAAAATATAATTGTTACGCACTAGTTTTGTTTTTAACTAGAAATAATCTGATTAATGATCACAATTAGTTTATCTAAACGATATGAAAATATTTTTTAGAATGTTATTATATCAATAAGATAGTATCTAAATGATTATGTATTCTTTGGTCCTATGTAACTGTAACTATGAAAAGTATAGAGTGATAACAAATTTCAGCAGAAGCTCAAGTTGTAATAGTTGAGTTTTTAAATTACACTTTTCGAATGCTGCCATTATTTCTTCAATAATAAATACACCAAGCTTGTTCTCTAAAAACAAAGGTGGCATTTACTGAACTGCGTCCTTCTTACAATCGATAATGTTTGTCTCTCACTATTATGTATAGTTGTAGCAGAAAACACCTATTCGTTTAGAATTCAGACTTTTTCTTGTTTTCACTGATGCTGATAGTTAAGCTTATT